CCCCCCATGGTCTGGTTCCAGAACCGAGGCTTCGCAGCTGCTGGCTGTGGGACTGTGGCTTCTGATGTGAAGTCTTCCATTGTGTATAAAATCCCCCTTAGCCTTCTCAGGCACTGGGTTGAATGAATGTCCTGTGCTAGGTTGAAGCCAACACGCGGATGGCTGGTGTCCCCTTATTCCTGCCAGGCTGACTGACCTGTGTACCCTGAGTGTGCACGGGTATGTCTCTAGCAGCTACTCCTTGTAAAAGGTTAATATTTAGTAGTGACCAGGGCCAGTTCTTTCTTTTAAAAAAAATCAGAAGTCAGGGTTCATGTTTTTCAGACACTGAATTTCTTTTATCATTGGAATTCATATTTTGCTTTCTATTTAATTTTTGTTGTAAAGGTGATGTACAGAGGGGTCACAGTTACATAATTTAATGTTTTGTTTTTTAGTTGGGTCCTGATATTTGCAAGACAGGTCTTACTGTCAAGCTGTACCAGTAGCCCTGATTTTGCTGTTTCGTTGTTGAGGTGGAGTCTGGCTTTCTGTCTAGGTGTGATCCATCTATGTTACTTTTCCTGCTGAACAGGGGTAACAGGCATGGTCAACTCCAGCTCTCTGTTGAGAAAGACTTTTGTGAACTTTTCAACCCAGGGTGGCCTTGAACTGTGGATCCTCATAAACTAAGCCTCCCAAGTAGCTAGGATTGCAGGCATGGATGGCCTACCGATGCCCAGCTGTAATTTTGTTTTATGGATTATTTTGTCCTAGCCTGTATTTTCCCCTTTCTTGCATTTTATTGACTTTTCATAAAACTGTGGTGACCTGATTTCTACCTCTGTAACAATTTAAGGGCATCATGCAGTATTGCTAACTACACATTATTTTAGCAAATATCCACTGAACAGCAACTATCTGCTTTCTTTCCTTCTAGTAAAAACCCCCATACCTGGGTTCTGTAGGTTTAACTAGTTTACTTACCTTATAAAGGAGGAAAGGTCATATGGGCATGGCTCGCCAGTATTTGGATTATTTTACTTAGCATAATGTCCTCCAAGTTTGTCCATCTTGTAGCAAATAATTTCCCTCCCTTTTTCTTTTCTCTCTCTCTCTTTCTTTCTCTCTCTCTCTCTTTCTTTCTCTCTCTCTCTCTCTCTTTCTTTCTTTCTTTCTTATTTCTTTTTGGTGCCAGTTCTGAGACTTGAACTTAGCTATGACCTCTTCCAGGTGCCAGTTGCCTACGTAATGCAGGTACTGGGCGGAAACTTTGCTGTGAGGAGGGTGGAGTCTGCTTCCCAGCCTGGAGCGGCCTTTACAATAAGTTTGAAAGAGGATGCTACTTTCTTGGCTTTGGAAGCAGGCACATTGGTGATTTAAGAAATCATATGGGGCTGGGAAGGTGGCTCAGTGGTAGAGCGCTTGCTTTGCATGCATGAGGCCCTGGGTTCAATCCTCAGCACCACATAAGCAGAAAACAGCTGGAAGTGGCACTGTGGCTCAAGTGGTAGAGTGCTAACCTTGAGCTAAAGAGCTGAGGGACAGTGCCCAGGCCCAGAGTTCAGGCCTCAGGACTGACCCCCCCCCCAAATCATATGTATAATATGTATAATATATATGACACTGAAGCATTTGACAGTAGGTACCGTAAGATAGTAAAATTTTTAGACTTTTTTGCATGACTAATTTCTGTGGTCTTGAACGGTAAGTGTAGTATACTGCCAGACTGACCAATATTTTTGTTATTTAAAAAGAAAGGTTGTCTTCTCTTTTCAAAGTTAAGTAATTTAAAAAATGACTTTTCAAGCCTTTTCTACCCTGGCAAGTAAGAAGTATAGTTTTTAAAATGAATAATACAAAACTGTCACTTTTTTGAGACACAAAAATAAAATTTCCAAATGCTTTAGAAGATTCTAGGATAATTATATCCTATTAAATCAGTGCTATGTAGTAATACTACTCAGAGAATGAAATAGATCTTACATTTGGGTTAAGAAGGAGCATATTAAAAATACTTTAGAAAGAAGCTTAAATCTCTGAGGTATTAAATAACTTAAATTCCATCTTTCCATTTTGAACCCATTAATATTTGGACGGATATGTCTAGTTGCATGAAAAAAAGTAATTACTTCTCAATTTGTCTCCGAATCCTCTCTTGGTGACTAGAAATAGAAATTTGTACTATCTATATGGCAGTTGGAAAATTGAGTCCTCTTTTTACTTTTAGAAATCCCATGTTAAGATCTCTTAAGATATCTAGATGTATAATTTTTATCTTCCCAGAATACACCACAAAACACCACTATGAATACTAAGGTTTATTGCACATTCCAGGTAAAACTTCCGTTTAACGCGCAGCGAATCATCTCCCTCTCGAGGAATGACTTCCAGTCCCTGCTGAAGATGCACAAGTTGACCCCGGAACAACTGGACTGCATTCACGATATCCGCAGAAGGAGTAAGAACAGGATTGCTGCCCAGCGCTGCCGCAAGAGGAAGCTGGACTGCATCCAGAACCTCGAATCTGAGATCGAGAAGCTGGTGAGCGCCGGGCTTTCTTCTTGTCATGGTCATTAGAATTCCAACACTTCCTTTCTTTGCGGAGGAGACTGCTCCCCGACCCCCCCCCCCAACCTCTTTTGTGGAAATTGCCTAGATTCTTAGGTAAGACATAACACTCAGTTTCATGTTCTTGTGATATGACATTTCCAAGGAAGATGAGCAAGTAAGAAAGTGAGGATTTCGTGGGCTATTTCACTTGTGACTCTTCTACGTTCTTAAAGTGATACACTATGATTGGTAACTTGAGAAGTATTTCTGAGTAGTTTTTTTTTAAAGAAAGATTTTCAAATTAAGAATGATTTTTTTACTGTCCAATTGTTAGTGGTTCTCTACAGCCTGATTAAAAAAATTTATTGTCTCTATGATGTATTTGGCATCTGTAAAAGCTAAAATTTCCAGCTCAGTAGTTTAATACACTTGCATTGCATTTTTTGGTGGGTACCAAAAAAAACCCAAACCTAGCTAGTATCTTTCTTCTGAGGGAAAAACAAAAACAAGTCTGATATGATGGTGGTCTAAATAGCAAATTTGAGGATAGACTGAGATCCAGTGAGAACAGTGCTTGCTTACCAGCTCTTACTGTGCCTCCCATTAATACCCGAAGGAACTAAAACGTCAGTTAATTTGCTCCCTTTTCTCCTTGTCCTCACGATTAGTGAAAGGAAGGCAGGTCGTATTAGAAGAGAACGGTGAGAGGACAACCAGCTCAGGGAAGTGTCCACATGGAGCCCAGGACAGCCTCGGAGCAGAGAACGCATTCTCAGGGTTCAGCTTTGTGTCTTTCTTTCTTAGTGGTGCAGACTTGTGATGGTAACGAGTCTCCAACTGTCAACATTCTAGGAGAGGGGCAGTTCTATAGTACAATTCAGAAGTGTCCCTTTAGCTAAAGCTTTCAAGAAAAGTTTTAGATTATATCTATATCTATATCTATATATCTATATCTATATCTATATATATATATATCATGTATGTTTAGTTAGGAAAAAGATGAAAGATGAGGGTAGAGGCATGGCTCAATTGGTAGAGTACTAGCCAGTGAGCAAAAGCATCAGGTACCGAGTTGGAGTCTCAAACAAAAAGATGGAGGCAGAAGAGAGATTCAGAGAAACTGATCTGAGCTGTAATACTAGCTTCTTAGGAAGCTGAGATCTGAGGATTACAGTTCAAAACCAGCTCAGGGAAGGAAAGAATGAGATTCTTATCTCCAGTGGACCACCAAAAAGCCACAAGTTGAGCTGTGACTCAAGTGGCAGAGTGCCAGCCTTGAGGAGAAAAGCTAAGGGACGGCACTCAGGTCTTGAGTTCAAGCCCACATGCTGGCAGAAAAACAAAAACAAAACCTATCTGATAATACTGAGGAACTGAAGTTAGGATCAAGGAAGATGTGGTAGCCATGTTGTAATGCACACTCAGTACCCGAGTGTGAGGCCCAAGCATTCTCACTCTGACGCCTTCACACCGCCTTTAGATGGGGCCTAGCATGACACAGACATTCAGAGCTTGTATTGTAGCACACACGTGCGTGCCTGCTGCCATGTTGCATGGAGCAGTTTGAAGTTGTGCTGAGTTCAATTTCTTATATTCCCTTGATTTTCCTAGATACTGTTTATAGTTGTCAGTAGAATATATCTGTGTCTCTTACTCTTCTTAAAAAAAAAAAGAACATCCAGTTTTGTTCCATTTTATACATGAATTCTATGTGGTTCTATTTGAGAATAGCTATTATCTTCTCTCTCTCTTCCTCCCTCTCTCCCTCTCTCTCACTCTTTCTCTCTTTCTCTCTCTCATATGCTGGTACCAGGGCTTGAACTCAGGACCTCACTCTCCAGCTTGAGGCTGGCACTCTCATTTGAGCCACAGCTCTACTTGTATTATCTCTTAACCACTACTATATTCCCTAGTTCCAAGGCTCATTTATGTTTCTTGATTGAAGATAGACATAAGATTGCTTGGGTATAGTTCATAAATTTCATGTGTACATCTAGGATGAAAAGGCTTTGCTACCTTTGCTAAAGAGAAAAGGTGGAAGTTGGCATGGTTAAAAGTGTGGAATTTTTGGATGGGGCACAGAGTCCCTTTGGAAAGGCTACTTGATTTCTCATCTATAAGTGGACAATGTTTCCTTCCTTACAGCACCCTTGCTCATTTAGGGAGAATAAATGAGTTCATATGTCTAAAGAACTTAAAATAGCAAATACCATGCATCTCTCCTCCCCTCTTCCTCTCTCCCCTCCTCTCTCTTCCTCTCTTCCTTTTTCTGTTGGCTGTGGTGCTTGAACTCAGGGTCTGAGTGCTGTCTTTGAGCTCTTTTGCTCAATGCTACATTGAGCACATTGAGCCATAGCTCTACTTCTGGTTTTCTGGTACTTGATTGGAGATGAGAGTCTCACAGACTTTCCTGCCCTGGCTAGCTTTGAACCATGATCCTCAGACCTCAGCCTCCTGAATAGCTAGGATTTTAGTTGTGACCCACCATTGCCCATCTTTTACTATGTATTTCTTATAACCATATTGTTAATTTTTGTTGAGATTTTTCTCTCTCTGCTGGCTTCCTTCCTAGTGTCTCTGCCTAAACTGAAAATTCTGGTTTGGACCTTACTCTACTCTGCCTTTCTCACTTTAATAAAAGCCAACAGAACACTTGCTTGTGGCTTTCCATCACAAGGTAATTGGTTTCTCGGCTATTTTGGTGAAAACAGAAGCCTGATGTGTCTCACTGTCAGTCCTGTTCTGCCACTTGCTGTCTGTCTTCTATGACTCTTTCTTTCTTTCATTTTTATTTCAGGAACTGTTTGAAAACTACCACATTATGATACTTCATCCCTGAATGCTTAAGTGTGCATTTTCTGAAAATAGACATTCATACCTATGCATAATATTTTTATCATGTTTGAGGAAATGTACAAATGCTTGGTATTATATAAACTAAGGATAAAATCCTTATTTAAATTATGCTAAATAAAAGCTAATTGTTTTATTTTTTCCACATTAAAATCCAAGCATCACATAATTAATGCTTTGTCAGTTTAAAATCAATTTTTTTTTTTTGATGGGTCATGGGGCCTGAACTCTGGGCCTGGGCACTGTCCCTCAACTCTTCAGCTCAAGGCTAGCGCTCTACCACTTGAGCCACAGTGCCATTATCTGCTTTTTCTGCTTATGTGGTGCTGAGGAATCGAACCCAGGGTCCCATGCGTGCAAGGCGAGCACTCTACCACTGAGCCACCTTCCCAGCCCTCTTAAATCAATTTTTTAAAATCAATTTTTATTGTAAAGGTGATGTAAAGAAGGATTACAGTTACACAGGTCAGGTAATGAGTACATTACTTGTTGAACAGTGCCAACTTCTTCCCTCATTTTCTCCCAATTTTTCCCTCCCTAACTCCTCCCTACCCCTTCCCAATTTTTAAAATGGTAATTGTTTTGAAAGACCCTAGATCAGATTTTTGTCTTATTTTTAACATTGTCCGATTGCTTCTGCATGACGTTAGCTTGTTCATCCATCCTCTAATTCTATGGATGGTGGAGCTGTTTGAGTTACCTGAATTGAGTTATCTGAGTTCCTTGGTGTTCTGTCCTTCCTGTGATGTCACCAGCGTCTCCAGGCAGGGGTGGGATCTGCCAGGTTTCTTCAGTTATTTGTTTGCTCTTCTCATTGCTCAGCGACCTGTGAATTGTTTCTCAGATACTTTGTGAAAATCTGGCTTTTTACCTCTCTTAGCTTGCATGAATGAGGATTATAGAATAATGAGGGTTATAGAATAATGATTTTTCTAATTCTTTCATGTCATTTATCTTTCTTGAATTCCTCTTTTTATCTTTGTTATTGTGTCCCCCCTTTTTTATTTTTCCATTTACTGCCCTGTTGACTCCTGGATAATTTTTTCTAATCCCTTTCTTTCTTTCTCTTTCTTTCTTTCCTTCTTTCTTTCTTTCCTTCCTTCCTTCCTCCCTCCCTTCCTTCTTTCCTTCCTAACTTCTTTCCTCCCTCCCTCCCTCCCTCCTTCCTTCCCTCCCTCCCTCCCTCCCTTCCTTCATTCCTTCTGCCAGTTTTGGGACTTGAACTCTGGGCCCAGGTGCTGTCCCTGAGGCTTTTTGTGTTCAAGGCTAGAGCCACAGCACCACTTTTGTTTTTTGCGTGGTTAATTGGAGATAAGAGTCTCACAGGGACTTTTCTGCCCAGGCTAGCTTTGAACTGTGATCCTTGTATCTCAGCCTCCTGAATAGCTAAGATTACAGGTATGAGCAAGCAGTGCTTGCCTCAATCCATTTCTTATAATTAATAGTAGTCATTAGTTTGTTTGATTTTTGCCTCCAAAACTTTTTTGGCTAGGGGGACCCCTTGTAGCCCTCGCTTTCCTGTTGACAGACCATGTTAGAGTTTCTAGGCCATCTAGCACATTACCCTGTGGCTTATCCTTGATTATTTTCTCCCAAGATTTGGACTTGCCCATTTCTCCAAACCTCTCTAATCTCTTTTTTGTCCTGGGGCTTGAACTCAGGGCCTCAGGCCTGTCTCTGAGCTTCTTTTGCTCAAGGCATTCTACTGCTTGAACCACAGTGCCACCTTCCACTTTTTGAGGATTCCTTGGAGATAAGAGTCTCTCAGACTCTCCTGCCCAGGCTGGCTTGGCACTGTGATCCTCAGACCTCAGCCTCCTGACCAACTAGGATTACAGGTGTGATCCACCAGCGTTTGGCATTAAGCTTATTCTTTTAATTTAAATTGGTCTGACACCTTTTTAGTTTATTTCTCTGTGTATTTACTCCTTCTATTTAATTTTTACATGTACTAAGCTGGAAGTGCACATTTGTCTCTGAGTTTGGCTTCCTAGAAACAAGTTGAGATTTTGTGTGTACACAGAGTTCCCTTGCTGCCATGTGAAGTATTTTATATACACTGAATGCACATTTATTCTTCAGAAGTTTGTGGGGACTAGTTTCCCCCATGGTCTCCTGCTCTGTCATGCAGTGGTCAGTCCAGTCTCTTACTGGCTCTTCTTTTTCATACTGTTTCCTTGGGTAGTGTGATGCACAGAGAGATGTTTAAAATTGGATTGTTGTATGTGTGACAAGCACCGGTGTAAGGCTGTAAAATACTAATGGGCCCGTCATGAGCGGGGAACTGCTTTGCCTTCCCTCCAGCAGTGAGCACATCTTGTTTGTTCATCGCCAAAAGTTACTGTCCACCTCTGGATTTTACTCAGTCTCATAATGAGAAGTGGTATCTCCTGGTAGCTTCATTTTATCTTTTATGAGTAAAATTGAGCGATTTTTGTTTGCAATGACCACTTGTAGATTTCTCTGAACTGTTTCTTGAGTGACCATTTTCTAGCAGACAGCTTGTTAACATTGTATTAGTTGATGATGCTAGTTGAAAAATGGAATAAATTATATCAATTATTTCCTTTGTTATTTTGAGCTTAGTAAACTGCTCAAAATTAGAATTATTTCCACTTTCCTGGAAAGTAAAGCATCAAGGCAAAGAAAGCCTTTGATTCTAGGTACTAAATATTAACTGAGAGAGTTCTCTGGATTTATTTTAATTAAATGATTGGGGTTGTATTCTGTGATATTAGTTTTGAAGGAACATGGTGCTTGGCTTAAAATTTATTCCATATTTACTGCTTAATTTTTGATTTACATGACTGTTTTACTGTGCAGTATTATATTAAATTGGTGTTATTGCACAATTACCAGTAAGTAAAAAGTAGCATTTAAAATTGCCATTAAAAAAAACAACACACAAACAAAAAACAAACAGGCTTCTTACCTAGCTCTTTTGGTCCTAGATCTGTGGGCTACTATCTTTATTGGCTGAGTCATATTTAAAATTTAAAAAGCAATTTAAATTTTAAAAAAAGAACAACCTTACATTTGAATGAATATCGTATGCCAGCTATTCAAAGGAGGGCTGTAGAGTATTTTTGTTGTCATGAAGTGAAGAATAGCTGTTTCTCTGAGTACTACGATAGTAAATTTGTAAAATGGCTTGGTACCAGTGGCTCATGCCTGTAATCTTAGCTATTGAAGAGGCTGCAATCTGAGGATTGCAGCTCAAAACCAATAAGATGACTATTCTCCCACCAAAAAACCAGAAGTGGAGCTGTGACTCAACTGGTAGAATGCCAGCCTTGAGTACAAAAGCTCAGGAGCAATGCCCAGGTTTTGAGTTCAAGTCCCAGGACCAGCATCAAAAACAAGAAAAATAGAGTGAAATGGAAATAGCAATCAGCTAACTGCCCAGAACCTTGGCCCTGTAGGAGTCAGCTTGCAGTGTAGAGGAGCAAGTGGGAGCATTTGAATGTGTGGAAGTGGTTGTGGTGGGGAACCTTGGCTGTTTATTTCAGTTATTGTGAAGAAGCAAATCTCCTTAATGAATGAAGTCATCCCTCATGTAGTATGGGGTGGGTGGAGTAGGACTGTCTGCTGATCATGCATATTTACATGAAGAGCAGAAATTACAAAGTATTTCTAGTCCTCATACTATCTGTAAGCGATTTGCAAGAAATAAAATATTCATTATTTTCCTTATTCACATTTAATTTAAGAGACCAACCAGCAGTTGACATTTTGTCAATGGCTATTTAGAAGAGATTCCTTCAACTGTGGTACCAGAATTCATGATTGAATATTGCTGTGACTGAAGGAAGGGCCTTCCCACTTTCTCCTGGGAGTTTTGTTTGCATCTTCATTTGGATTGGTTTCTGAGAGTCCACAGAAAAGGAAGTGTGCACATTGTATTAATGTATATCTAGGAGGTAACAGCAGTTACTAGTCTTGTCCACTGGGAGCCTGTGGATCTAGTCTAGTGCATCTGAAGACTGTTACTGACAAACTGTGTCAGAACAAACATATAGACTGAACAATGATTGTGGGTCTACACACACACACACACACACACACACACACACACACACCCCCTACATACACACACACCTTACATACATATGTGCTCATTCTTGACCTGTACCTATTACTGTTTAGAACAGAATGATCTTTCTAGAAACCTAAACAAAGCTGAGAAATACTTTGCAATAAAAGTCTATATTGTATACATGATAAAATAAACTATTTATTATGTATTTCCTCAAGTTGTTATCTGGCCTAAAAATAATCCAGAAAGCCACCAAACATTAGATTATCACCTAATTTTGTAGAAATATTTTTATAAGATTATAACAGCATTTGTACAGATCAAAGTTCATATTACTTCTTAGCTACTTTGATGCCAAGAAGAGAGTCTAAAAGCCTGACAGAGATTAGCTCTGTGAAATAATCCTTTTCAATGTAACCTTGACCTGTTAGCAAGCAGAAAGCAAGAGAACAAACAGAAGCCTTGGGCTTCCTATCAGCATTTATTAACTCTTAACCTTATAAACAGCTTATTAAGCTTCCTAGCTCATGGCAGGTTGGGAGCAATGCAACAGTAGAACTGGAAGGATGAGGTGGGCGAGGCAAGAAGCCAGCGCACCCTTAGCTGTGATGTGTGACAGGGAATGGGACAACTTTGGGAAAAAATTCTGAGGTAGGCTTTCTTAAAGGGGCAACATCATTAAGTTGGAGTAATAAAAAAATAAAAAACGGGCTAACCTCACATTCTTCACCGTTTTACTAACTTATTTACTAGCTTTGTAATCTCTGAGCATGTTAAATTCTTCATTCTGTTCTGTGGATTTCATCTGACCTAGATCAACAGTCATTGTGTAGATTGTAAAACTGAGATGACATATTGAAAACATTTAGCGTCAGAGCTGGCACAAAGTAACTGCTCCAGAAAAGTAGTCGTCACATCTTTGTGATCTTCGTGGAGACAGGAGGACTGCAGACCCTATCGGAAAGATAATCTTAAGCCAGAAAGGCTGTGTGTGTGTGGCTTCAGCCCGTGGAGGCTCTGAATTCAAATCGTGGTACTGAGCCTTGAAAGTGGCCTTAATTAAATCTAGCAACAGAGTGAGTCTCAGTAATTAAGCTATGTGTACTGTTGTAATTTTTTTTTTTTTTGGTAATCCACCCCACATGTCAAGTTCATACTCATTTCTCTGCAATCTGTAAATCTAGACTCTGGAAAATTGCCAGGTTGTCCCCTAATGTGACTATATATTTTCCTTTCCTACTTTGCATATTTGAGATTCAGTGTTTCCCACGGAGTGTGCAGTGTATCAGAGTGGAGGCTTGGCCCCAGACCTGCTGGAAGATTTGCGTGTTCACCAGAACTAGCTTTCTAACGTGGGAATGTCTGGATTGTAAGAGTTTTAGACCTTTGGTAGTTTCCCTATATTTGGGAGAATGCCATACACTCTCATCTAATGAGATCGCATCTCCTACACAGTGATTACACTAAATTAACACAAGTCATCATGTTCTCTCTCTCCTCACAGCAAAATGAAAAAGAGAGTTTGCTGAAGGAGCGAGATCACATTTTGTCCACTCTGGGGGAAACAAAGCAGAACCTAACTGGACTTTGCCAGCAAGTCTGTAAAGAAGCTGCCTTGAGTCAAGAGCAAATCCAGATACTCGCCAAGTACTCGGCTTCAGATTGCCCCCTTTCCTTCTTACTTTCAGAAAAAGGAAAAAGTGCCACTGAAGGTGAATTGACACTCCCGTCCATTTTCAATTTAGCCCATGTGTCTTCAGTGCTGCCTCCCAGCGGGCGGGGAAGCGGGGCGGCCAGCTGTGAGCGGGGTGTCTGCGAGGCCCCCCCCAGCTCCGTGGACCCCCGGGAGCAGCAGCTGGGTGAGCAGGGGCGGCAGAGTGGCGCCATCACCGAGTTCTGCCAGCAGATGACGGACAAATGCACTACTGACGAGTAGACTCTGTGCTCTCCCGCCTGCCCGCCTGCCATGCAATCTGCTACTGAAGATTTGGCATTATCTTGAAAGCCTCGTGGCCGTCTCCTGCTTATTAATACACAGCCTTCTGTTCAGGGAAATCCTCTTTAAGCCAACCCTGACTTGGTTCTTGGCTCCTACAAGAAAACACCAAGATAATTTATCTCCTGGGTACCAGAAAAAAAAAAAAGCACATGTGAAAAATGTAGCCAGAACTTGTGCTTTTATGAATCACTGTCAGTAATCACTTTCCAGTATTTAAAGCAACGAAAAGAATGACTACAACCTGTCAAACAATCTGAAAAGCTTGAACCGCCGCATATCATCCGGACAGGAGAGGATGAATGATCTACCTAATTTCCATCTATGGATTTAACAGCCAGTTCCTCCCCAAGCTGTATTGATCCTGTCTACTCAGGAGAGTGTGTCTACACTGGGAATCGCTGCATAGAGCTGCGGTATGAAAAACATCAGTTACTTTTCCCAAATCCTAGAGCTTTGCTCTTCAGCTCCTACCACAGCCAGTCATCCAAGAGACTTCCTGTGACTCGTGGCCACGCGCCTGGCTGCATTTTGTGAATGGGCAGGGATGGCCTCCAGGGGAGGCTTCAGTGGCTTCTCAGTATTGCCTCTAGAATTTCTAGCTGAATAGTAGCTAGTGAACGCATTTTCCTTCTTCAGTCTCAGGCCCGTCTTGGCCTCTTCAGTTTCCTGGCCTCAGGACGTAGGGGGCTGAGCACACACGCTGACGGCACTGGGCGCTGTCACTGTCCTAGCCACCCCGCCATCCCCTGCTCCCCTGCCCAGGCCCTGGGAACGCCTCCCAGTATGCATGGCTTCCTCCTCATGCTGGCCACAGGTGCCAGAGATTGAGGAAATGAACTTTTTTTTTTTTTTTAAATAACAGGAGTGCAGCTCATTTTTTAAATCCTATTTTTAAACTCCTACAAAAAGCACTATTGTGGATTTTTAAAAATGTATTTATAACAACTCTGCAGAGTTTTGAAAAAGGATGAAACTTGGGGGTCTTCTTCCATTAAGGTTTACATCAGAGAGCCAAGTTTCATTCTTGCTTTCTTGCCCCAATTTAGAGTGATGTAAAGGTACACACAGCATATTTTGACTTGGGCATTTAAAAAATCAGTCTTTGTGTTTATTTGATCCTCTTGGATGATGTATTTATAATCTGAGTACTTACCCAATAATGCATGGCAGTGACTCTAGCTGCTGAAACATAACATAATCGAGAGGCAAGTAAAAGCTATTGGACTACAGCAATTCTAAAAAAGAAGAAAAAAAAAGAAGAAGAAGAGGAAGAAGAAGAAGAGGAGGAGGAAACTATAAATGCAGGTTCAGTATCCCTAGTACACAAATCTGAAATGCTTCATAATCTGAAACTTTTGGAGTACTGACAAATCACCCCAAGTGGCCATAGGTCACATGATCAGGTGACAGGCTGTAGCCCAAACACAGGCACCCCCTAAAAATATTATTTGAATTACTTTAGGTACATGGGCAAGTGGCAAATGAAACCCATTTAGATGAACTTGATGTTGAGAGACTTAGGTGTCAGCTCTAAGATAATTCATTGTGTATATGGAAATCTCCAAAAACCTTCTGGTCCTAAGCATTTCAGATTAGGGCAACTCAGCCTGTATGCATGTCGAAGGAACCCAGTTTTAAATGGTACAAAGGAGTGCTTGATAGTATTCTGAATAGAAAGTACTTCATTTAATCCGGTCCAGTGCTGGGAAGAGACTGCATCCTTAGTGCAGGGTCTGGTTCTGGAGGCAGTGCCGGCACGGTGTGGGAGCCAGTGGGAAGCAAGTAGACCTTCGCTTTGAGACCTTTGGGGACCAGACTGTCTTTCAGCATAGCATGTCACATGTTGTCCGTTTGCTTTGGGGTGCACGGCGGGCCGGAGGGAAGACTGTACTTGTTTATTTCCGGTGTTTGTGTGTCATCTTCATTACTGACTTTGGTGGAAGGGGAAATTCATTGTGACTCTTTTCTAGAAGCTTTCACCACTACGTTCGGTTTTTTTCAGGGAGACCGACTGATCTTTCTGTGAGATGCATCCCGAATTACGGAAGAGTTGTTGTCATGTGCATATATGTCCCTCCCACCCCCCAGTTACTTCTTTCATGTAAATTTCACCTTCACAATATGAAATAATATTCAACAACAACAAAAACTTCTGTGGTTTACAAACTGTAAAATCTCCAAACCAATGGAATTCTTAATTTCCTACCTCAGTGGACACTCAACTGTCTGTCATCAGTTTGTGTATGTACAAGTGTCAAATCTTTTGCTTTAATTGCAAGTGTACATATTTGCTTTGAAAAGTGACTATTTTGTGATAAATCTAGCTGTCTCCACAGTCAGTAGTTTTTAAAGCACTTGGTTTAAAATGTCTCTCTACCTACAAACATTAGCATTAAGGGTTTAATGGCATCTGATCATTGTCCAAGTGTAATATTGCTTAAAATTTAGCATTACTTTTAATAGCCAGCATGTAATACAAGTAACTACACTACCTCATACCTTCATGACTTTCAAGTTGTAATATAGATGGACAAAAGAAAGTTTGTCTCTTGACCATAAGGCAGGGACATCTTTTATATATTGCGTAGCATTACATTTATGCCTATTTTAACATTAACTTCTAAAGAAGTTCTTTTTTTCTAAGAAAATGTGCTCCCAGGTAATATTTTTTTTGAGGCTGCTGAAGACAAATGATAGGATTCTGTGTATACAATGTATGCCTTTCCTTCATGCAGAAAATGGAAGTTTCAGCTTGTGTATCTCATATTGACATGATCGTTGTCCTTTGTCCTATGAACGTCAGTCTTCTCAGTGTGTGATGACATTTATGAAGCTGATATGTCTGACTCAGTAAAATAACTTTACTTTGAAACTTTCCCTTACTTGAAGATCGAAGTTGCAGCAAATAATTTGTTGAGTTGTGATAGGCAAAACAAATGCGTATTATAATATTGGATCTCCATCTATAAGTTTTGTAACAAAGTTATCATAGCCTAGCTAATTTAGGATAAAGATGAAATATATTTGAGGAAGTGGATGATATAGACTGTGTCCGGACACTCAGCACATCAACAACTTGGAAAAACAAAAAAAAACAACAACCCAGAAACAAATGGCAATGTGACAAAGAATTCTCAGGTGAACTTTTTCAGTTATGAAAAACATCTATTTTGAACTTGTAAATATTTTAAATGCTTTATTAAGGCATGTAATTAACTATTTCCTTGAAACTTGTTGGAGAGAATGAAATTGAAAGCCATAATGGCAAAAAGATGTCATCCTGATTGTAAAATAAATAACATTAATGTTTTTGTACCTTTCATAATATTTTGTTACTGCAATAAAACCACTAAACTTATATATCCATGTCTGATTAAAATCATGTTTCACGAAAATTACTTTCATAGTATTTAATTTACACGTTTCCTAATCTGCTTATCAAATGTATCGAAACTATTAAATGTTGATAAGTTGTCACTTAAATAAAAAATTTCTTAAATTGCTTCTAATCAGCTAGAGTTATGTATTCCATTTACCACCTCATACATTTACTAATTCTAACCGTGTGCTCAATTCTCAGAAGTCAGACTATGACATTGATGAGGGAAAAACTTTTATTATCACCCCTCCCCCACTCAGTATTCCCCAGTGTTTTAGGATGTACAGATTATAGCCTTTCACCTTATTTGCTTAATTTTTGTCTTTGGATTGAGGGAGTTTTAAGTGACGTTATTTCTGTCAGCCACTGATTTTTTTTTAAAGGTATGTCTGTGGAGTCAACTGTCATGTTACATTCCAGTCTCCTCAAGGCCCTTGATAAAGCTATGAGCAGTGATTCAGTGTTTTGAGCAGTGATTCAGTGTATGGTTGTCTGCACTTTAAAAAACAACTTGCTTTCCACAGAGGTGGGAAAGAAGAAGTGGTACTTACGCCGAATGGGTTTGAAGGTCGTAGGTAATAGATTGCACAGAGGAGACATTGGCAGGCATTATCCTGGTCATTTCCTTCCCTCTGGTACCATTGAGCTTCTTCCATGGCCTTTGGCCACCACAGGCCCCATGTTCTGGGAACATAAATGTCCCTGAGAGGACTTTTTTAATGGCTGAGCATAGACATGTTTACAAAACAGGTGGAACAAATGCTGTGGTAATCATTAATGCTGAGTTACTTTAGACTTGACACTGGGTCTAATGTCACCCAGTGTCTGAATGAATCATCCTGAGACAGCATGATTCCTAATCACATGTGTTCCTTTCAGATTCTGTTCTTAATCTTCAACCTGTCCAAAAGTGCTCCCTAAATGATGAACGATTAAGAGAAATGAAGTAATGGAAAATGAAACAAAACAAAACAAAATCCCTTCGTTTGCTGATGCTTAAGGTGAGAGCCAATTGGCAAATTCCAGAATAGGCCAGTTGACCAATTAGAACAGTTGGCTTCCTGTTGCAGGACAGAAATAATTTATCTATTCCTGGTTTCCACAGAGAGTTTCCTGGAAGCAGCATAGCACTGCTTAGCCTTCCCCTTCTACTCAGTAGCATGAGGGTAGAGAATGCAGAGAAAGAGAAAGGGAGGGAGAGAGAATTACAGCAAGGCAGTGTCAGTCATATAAAGTGATGGCGTTAAGGGAAGATGTCTGCCTACAGTGTTAGGGATCCACGTGGACAGGAATTTCATGGAGGCGATGAATCTGTTAGATTTAAGAAGTTTGCAAGTGAAACAACAAAACTTGCTGGTCCCAGCTGCTCACTGGTGGCTCACGCCTGTAATCCTATCTACTCAGGAGGCTGAGATTTGAGGACCATAATTCCAAGCCTGCAACAGGCCGGAAAGTTTGTGAGACTTGTATCTCCAGTTAACCACCAAAAACCTGGAAGTAGAGCTGTGGCTTAAGTAGTAGAGCACTAACCTTGAGCTAAAAGCTCTAAGCCCTGACCTCAAGCCCCAAGACTGGCGGGGGGGGGGGGGGGGGGGAGAGGGTGGGAAACAGTTGCTAGTCCCTGTGAAAGGTATGGTCTTGTCCTCCATCTTCACACTCCACCTCGAGGGAGCATAGGTTCAACTTTAAAACTATTATCTGAGAATATTTGTTTTTCTCCATCTCCATCAATATTGTTCTTCAGACACAGATGAAGAGATGAGACATAAGATTTTAATAATTGAGTAGAGCACATTTTCATTTAAACATTTTGATCTTTTCTACTTTTTTCCTTCTTAATTTCAATTTCATCACAGTTTAGAAAGTCAGCTGTTTCCTAAACAGTTAATTTCCTACTTCAAGAGACAGGACGTAAATATCTTTCTAATTAACATTTTGATATGTAAGTTGCTGATGTGATATTGATTTGGTTCAAGGAGGGCCTGTTACTTGTACTAGAACGTGATTAAATATTAAAATATCCACTGTAGTTTGATCTTTCTAAAGAAAGACTTCTTTGATCTACCTAAGAAAATAGCTTTTTTTTTGCTATTGACTGCTTTCATCTCAATTTTCCTTTGTGAAAAAAACTTGCTTATACATTAGTTACTCTAATTTAAACGGCAGCTTTAAATATACAGGACTATGTTAGTATCTTTAGCATGTTTTCTTTCTTTTTTTTTTTTTTGTCGGTCATGGGGCCTGAACTCTGGGCCTGGGCGCTGTCCCTCAGCTCTTCAGCTCAAGGCTAGCACTTTTCCACTTGAGCCACAGCCTCACTTCTGGCCTTTTCTGCTTATGTGGTGCTGAAGAATCGAACCCAGGCCATCATGCATACAAGGCAAGCACTCTACCACTGAGCCACCTTCCCAGCCCCTAGCATGTTTTCTTTAAAAAAGGGTTTTTTTTCTTTCACATGCTTTGGCCTTGTCTTGAGCTTTTCCTCTGGTTTTTAGAACATCTCTGATGTTTGAGGGACACGTTTCTGCAATCTGTAGAAAATTTAATCTGACAAGAAATCTTCTAGAACATTCCTAGAAGACCAGCTCAGGGTATTTTGCTTCGGCGGAACAGATAAGTAGCATGAGGAACCAAGGCTTAATGTGGAGTCAAGGTAGAGTTTGAAATTTGACAATACTGTGGACTGGAGCATGGGGTTAAGATAAGGCAGGAGAAATTGGCTGGATCACATTATTTAATAGACAGGTCTTATGTCCATCAGGATTTAGGAGGGCAGTTAGTGGTAGCATACTTGAATAAGTAAGAATAAGAAATAAAGAATTGGAGAGGCAATGACCCAGGCACAAATCCAAGGCCTTTTATTAGAGGAGGAATGAAAGCACATGA